AACCTAATGGAGGATAGGTCCATCAATCGCTATTAGTCAAGATGGTCAGAGATACAACTCCATGCTCTGGGTGCCAATAAGCCTCTAACTTTCAGAAGCTGCGACTGGCTAACAGGGGATAACACTCATAATTGTCTTGTTCTGTTCATTCCCTATAAAGCAACTGGCACTGGCCAGCATCAGAGACAGGATATTGGGCTAGAATGATGGACCACTGCTCTGAGCCAGTATAGCCGTTATGTTCTGTTCTCTACACACCCTCTACCCCTAAAATAAATTGTTGGCATTAACCCAAATACAGTAGAACTACTTTTTATTATCTCAAAAATAACTAATGATGTTTTGTACCACCAGCGTAATTGCATAAAACTGCATTTTTCAATAACTTGAGTATTTTTTTTTTCGTTTGACCAATTGTGACAGATTGACTGTATCCTATAATAGCCTGGACAAACCTTATTGAGTTTAATATCTTTGGAGTCCATTGTATTAGAAATGCAATTGTCTCTGTGTTGTTCAGGAACGTTATGTATTTCCACTGGGAGAGTAAAGAAAAGAACAGCATCATGGTGATTAGGGAAATTCACACAGGTTGTAACATCTCCAGAGAAACACCACCGTCTGAAGCGGTCTGCTATACTAGTTCAAACTTGATTCCCCAGGGACCAAGAGACAAAGAAATTTGGATGAATAAGCGGGTTTTAAACTGATCCAGCAAATAGACAGGACTTCTGGTCTAAGGGTGCCCCAATCTTAGGGAAAGGCTAGAAGGACAAATCACCACCCAGAGCCCTTGTCAATGTGGCCAGTGATCTCTGGGAAGCTTATTAGCATACGTGTAGGTTCTTTTATTGTTTTTAATATATTTTCTATATACACCTCTACCCCGATATAACGCGACCTGATATAACATGAATTCGGATATAATGTGGTAAAGCAGTGCTCCGGGGGGTGGGGGGAGTGGGGGCTGCGCGCTTCGGCGGATCAAAGCAAGTTCAATATAACACGGTTTCACCTATAACGTGGTAAGATTTTTTTGGCTCCCGAGGACAGCGTTATATCAGGGCAGAGGTGTAATCCTGTCTACCTTAAGAATAAATCCTCTTGCTTAGATACAGAAATGTGGTGGCGGACAGCTGTAGCAGTTACACCGTAGACCATCTCTGAGGAGAGAAATGTAGCTGGCCTATTTAGGCAGTCTATCTTTTGCTGGGAAAAGTCACAGTACAGCCAGGGAGCTGTGGAGCCTGGACCTACCCTGGGCAGTAGGGGGAGAGATGCCTATCTCCACCCAAGAGAGGCAATACCCAGAGAGGCCACAAGTCTGGGAGTGGGTTCCCTTGCTGACCAATGAAGGGAGACTACTAGGGCAATTACTCTGAACTATGATGATTTAGAGGTTAGAACGAAGATGATAAGTTGTAATTGCCATGCTTTGAATAGATCTCCTACAGTATATGGGCCCACTGAGGTGTCAGGGTAAGGGGGGCTGGGAAGGAGGCTGAGGAATCAGTGTGGAGGAAGCCATCAGCTCACTTTTTCTCTTGCATATGATAGATCTATTGAAATCACGTCCAGTCCGACAGCACATAGGATAGTTGTTGAGCTCAAATAATTTACTCGCAAATACAAAGGGGAAGAAATATTTGGTGCTAAGAAGTAACTCCTGCATTTCTTTTCTTTGCAAGTCACCAGTTTCCATCCTTTAGGATTTTTATATCTAGATGCCATATGGGCATCGTCTCATTTCCTGTGGTGAATAAGTCTGTAAGAAAACTTATTGCTAAACCTGTGTGTTTAAACAGATGGCAGAATCCACTTCATCTGCCTCCTTCCTTTAAATCCATTTCACCTGTCTCCAGCTAATTTGTCACATACAAACAATTAGTTCATGCTTTCCCTCTGAGATCTTTCTGAGCAAGAATGAAAAAGCAGCACTTGGTCCCCATTGGCAGCACAAGGAGCAGAAAGTCTGAATCAGTCTTAAAATATGCAGGTTACTAAAAGGATCAGTATCAGCCACATGCCACAGATGTGTACTGAGGCAGGAGACTAAAAGCCAAATGCGTCCAACAACCAAGACGTTGAGTTATCACACACTACTTGACTAACTAGAGCCTTCTCCTGAACTCACACATAGAACTCGGATAGGACCCGATCGAAAGACTGCCATTGACTTCAATGGGCTTTGGCTCTGGTCCCATCAAGAATATTCTTACCTTTTTCATTGAAACTCCCCGCACTCCCAGCATGCAAATGTTTGGATTTTTCATTTTGATGCTCATCTGGAAAGGGATTTAAAGCATGTCCATCTGCTCCAAGATTTCTATTAATGGCTATGTGTTAGCTGACAGTTAGCCTGTCAGTTTGAAATGTGTGAAGGGGGAGGTTATGGAAGTCTGTAATATTAGTTTCTAATTGTTAAAGCCATTAACTAAAATGTTTTTTAAAAAAGGTTAGCCCAAGCAGTTCCAAGCTGTGCAGTGGCTTATTCATGCTTCACTATGTACATCTCAAATTGTCATTGGTCAAATTGCAGGACAAAGATCCAAACTAAGGGATGAGAATAATAGCGCAGAAAACTTATAGTGATACTGCATTAGTTACATTTACACACACATTTCCTGCAACTCATTTTCTGGATTCTGCATTTAGGATGCAAATAATTCACAAGTATCAGAGGGGTAGCCGTGTTAGTCTGGATCTGTAAAAAGCGACAGAGTCCTGTGGCACCTTATAGACTAGCATCAGGGGGTAGCCGTATTAGTCTGTATCTACAAAAACAACAAGGAGTCTGGTGGCACCTTAAAGACTAACAGATTTATTTGGGCATAAGCTTTAACGGGTGAATACCCACTTCATCAGACGCATGCTCCAATACGTCTGTTAGTCTATGAGGTGCCACAGGACTGTCGTTTTTTTACAAATAATTTACATTAATAAATGGTAAAATTAATGAGTTAGTTAAATAAATTGCCCCCACATAAAAATAGGATAGACTATTAAATACATAGGATAGTGTCCCAAATTTATGCAGCAAGAAAACAAACTGGAAAGAGACCTAAGTACGCGACAGACTATGTGACATCATCTGAAAATTGGTTTTGTATTGGATTATCTAAGTATTCTTGGACTCTTTCCAAAACTAGTCCCCCCCATTTACTTCTGAGTCCTTCATTTAAAGGAAATTGAAGATCATCATCATGTAAAGGATAGTATAATTCACAGAAGAACAGTTCATTGTTTTCATTGACAAAGAGCAATTTTACTAATAGCCTAATTAAAAGGTGGTTAGGTGAAGTAAGATCACACAGGGCCAGGTGTTTAAACCGACACTCCCTTCAAAGGAAAATACGGCACTATACATTTACAAACTACAAACAAGTAAATAGACTAGTAACCAATCATTCTTAACTCTCTCAGAGCAGGAAGGTGTAGTGACTGGTAAGACCTCTAACATGGAAAGAGAAAAACTATCTGATTAACCAGTAAGCTTTGCTTTTTCAGATGGAGAAATTGTTCAAGACCTCCAAAACCAGTATTCTTCCTCCTCCTGCCCCTGAGTAGTGATATCACCAGCCCTATTTTCTGCTTTTGGGAACAAAAACTGGCCTTTTTCCCCCTACACATCTCAGACCTGCATTAGGACAGCTTTTGACATCCTCCTGCAGGAAACTTGCCAGTGGATCTTCTACGTATAGTAGAACATCCAAAGGGTAGGCTACATATACCAAATTTCACTCCATAGTTGAGGATGCATTGAGATTGTCACTTAAAGCAGGAATTAAACAGCTTTACACATGAACAACATTGTGTATCCTTACTAAAGCTGAATAAATGATTGATGGAGGGGAGAGGGGGGGCTCACTGGCAGTTAAAAATAATACAATTTGGTTCTGATTGAACAGAATGTGAAAGATCTGAAAAATTTTGTTCAAGCCAAAGGACTAGATTCACAAAATGCCAAGAGGAGAATGTTCCCGTATAAGCTTTTGCCCAGTGGTTAGAGCATTCACCTGGGATGTGGGAAACCCAGGCTCAATTCCCCCCTCTACCTGATGTGGGGAAGAGATTTGACGCTGGGTCTCCCTTGCCCTAACCAGGCAATGGGATAATAATTACAGTGTTGCCAACTCTAATGATTTGTCACAAGTCTCATGATAATTATTGTTTTCCTTAAAGCCCCAGTTCCTGAGGTCAAATGGATGTGTGATTTCAGCCTTCACTTTTAAAGAAAAAGTTTCTAGCCCTCGTGGCTGTGGAGAAAGTTTCAAAATGTGACCCCAGTGTACCCTAAACACTCAAATAGAAGGTAAATAAAAAAAGCCCCCAAATCATGATTTTTGAACATTTGGGGTTGGCAATGCCGATTACATAATCACTGGAGCTGGTGCAGGAACTTGGGTCTTCCATCTCCCAGCTGAATGCCCCATGCACCAGGCTGTAGAGCCTCTCTCTCTCTCTCTGGCCTTTAAACTTCCAGATTCTCCTAGGGCACTGTACTACTTTTTCAAACGGATCCTGCAAGCTGGAAGGTTTTGGTTTTTTTAAAGCCACTGAATTTAGAAGTATGGATTAATGGTTCATACAAAAATATGCATACAAACGGTCTGTTATGTGTGTGTGCAGAGCTTTTTGCTGGATTGTAAAAAGTCATGGTTTTTTAAAAAATTATTTGCCACTGTCTGAAGTTGTAGTATATATGGTTAGAGTAAAACTGGTTGTCAAACTACATGCAAAAAACCCCTTTCAAGAAAAATCAGTCAAATTTTCAACCTTGACAGCGTCCCCTTACCGTTATTGTAAGTACTTTGGGAATCTTTAATATTTTTGGAATATCAGTGCTAAAAGGGAATTTTAGGATTAGATGAAACGACCACTGGATGTCACTGTTGCTTTTAAAATGGACAGTAAGTTTGGAAATGACAAATGACAGCAGTTTGGAAACAAAACCTGTTAGCGTCGATCACTAGAATGGTCAGAAATAAAACTGACAGTCATTTGTTTTCACTACATCGAAGTTTATTATGAAAGTTAAACATACAACACAAAAGGTAGCAAAAGCAATCCTGTAGCTTAAGGCAACTCTTAAAGGAGACGAATTCAAGAAAGGATGATGCAACTTCTGTTTAAATAGAAATTATGAAAAATATCAAATTGCATCAATAACTTAAAACGTACTTTAAAAAGTCTGCACTAACCAGCAGAGGGTAAGGGTTTCTGATCTTAATGCCAGCATTAAGATATAGTAAGCAGCACAATGCTAAATGATGAGAGGGAAAGTTCAGTATTTACACAAAGATAGTAATGTTTAGATCTGACAGTATAATTTCCTGTGTACTTATGGTTTGGAACCATGATCTGAAACCATTAGGAAAATTATGTAAAATAAATCTTCATGCTATTCCATCGAAAATACAGGGGATGCAGAGCGGATCCAGGACTAGAACGATGGGTACCTTAAATATCACATTACAGAAGCTTTTCAGAAAAAAATGCTTCTTCAGGGAAGAGAAGAGGAAAAATAACATGAGCCACAAAGAATGTGAAACCTTATCTGTCAGATTAGCCAAATTTAAATTTATGTATCAATATCAAAGTATTTCCATTTTATGATGTTGTCACAGCAGTTACAGATAACTGTTTTAGCGAACTGTTAAATATTCATGGTATTAACATAAAAGGAGTCCCGTTCACGTTTCCATTATTTGTTTATAGTTTTGCAAGACCTTGTCTAATTTCAATTCAAATGTTTTGCCATCAGTAAGGGTGCCATATAAAAATAAATATTTAATGATCCTAATCATAAACAATTTCAGTTCATTTTCAAAATTCATCATGAAACCATAATTTTTCTTTAAAATAAGTGGTCTAGCGTCAGCATTTTATTATTAAAGATTACTTCAAATGACAAAATTAATTAAGCTATACAGAAAGCATCAGCTTCAAACAATGCCAAATGACACTGCTGTTTCCAGTTGTTTCTTTAAAGTAATGGACGTTGATGGAAAGTTGGGAATAAGCCTGTTTACAAAAATTATTCATACAAATGAATCCATCCCAAATCTTACCCTGTTGGAAAAAGCCATATATACTGTAAATTAGTTTTATATGTAGATGATTTAATAAAAGAAAGTGTCCTATGGACAGTTTGAGAGATTCTACACACAACCCCAAATCTCTCCTTTCATCATTCAGCATAAATTTACAAAAAGCATAAGATATAAAATACACTTAAAGCAGATATCTTAAACATTATTTTTAATACAATATCACCATTGCAGCTGATCACCTTTGTCCCCAGTTTAACATGCTGTCAAATCCAATCGTGAAGTTGCAATATCCCTTTCCAGAACTATTTAAAAAAATCCCTGAATAAAACAGAAGCCAGCCTGCAACTTCCTAGGAGTCTCAGTAGGTACTATATACAGGGCTACATTAACCACCCAAACTCATTTAGTACAGAATAGAAACTAGGTTAGATTCTGGGGCAGAATGCACTGACATCAAAAATATTTTTAAAACATTTTTATTTTAAAAAATGGAACCAATGAATTGCTAGCAGTTAAAAGGATATTGCAACTTTAACAAACATACATGCATGTTAGAAAGTTGATTGACAGCTCTGTGCTACTGGGTTTAGCTCGTAAATAATGCAAAAAATGTCAGCAGTCTTTAAAATGTCTTGCAAATTTTGAAGATAAAGAAAATTGCAAAAAAGACAAGAATACATATCTAAAATAGAGCAGGAGCACAATAATGACAACCAAAACTTCCAAAAGCCCATATAAAAAAATTAAGCTTGGAAAGCCTTGGCTTCCAGCAATTTACCAAAACCAAAAAAAATTGTAATCTGCAATGTCTTGACCTATTTTTAAGTGACAATTTTTTTTATGACAGTTGAGAAAAATGGTTTATAGCTGCTTAAGTTTCCATTTCACTAAAATAGTGCCAACAAAAATAAGCTTGCATAGAAAAACAATCTCAAATTGCCACTGGCTACATGCTTACAATAGGAAATGCAGATATTGTAACATAAACATAGTGCAAACCATGGCAGTTCATGCTGGTTGTGACTGCCGCAGGTCAGGAAACAGACCATAGTAACCCAGTTATCACAGTTTCTGGTCTTTTATTTAATCTTTTGCCAAGTATAAGCAATGCATATGCGCAGACCCATGGCATGTCTGCTGCTGCTGTTGATTAACGCAGTTTGAGGTCATCACCACTTCCTAGGTTAGATCCAGGACTAGGGTCTTGTTGTCTTCTTGCCTGTATTAATAAATATATATTCAAGGTCAAAGGAATGGTTTGGAAATATCAATTTAGTTGATTTTTTAAATGCATTAATTACAAGGTTATGACCACAAATAATTCCACGACACGAAATTTACACTTCAAACTGTTAAATATATACTATAAATACAAAAATACCATCAATACCCCCTACTTAATCCCCCACCTTTGTGAAAAACCCTGAGTAAAAGCAAGACTTCACACAATCCTTTGAAGGTCTGGCTCTGGTTTTGATGGACCAGCAGAGGAAGGGCACTCTGAAGTAGAAGACCCTACACTGAAAATGCTGCGGCACAAGTTCCTGATGTTCAAATCTAAGGACTGTTAAATTTCTACTTAATTTATTTCAACAGATAAGAGAGGTCAGAGGTAGCAGAGTGGTTACGAAATATAGTACAGAGTCCAACCATCTAAGGCTTCATAGATCCAATTCAACACCTTGCATTGTTCTTAGAAGGCAACTAGAGGACAGTGAAATCTACAGAGCACAGTTACAATAAACTTGCACCAAGTAGGCAAATGGCAGCATTCTGTCAAAAAATGAAGTGTCTAGATGTCTTCAAGTGCAGCCCTATGGAGAGCATGTTGCAATAATACAATCTGGAGGTAACTAAGGCATGGATAAGTATGCGCCCGAGGACAGACCTTTATGTAGTCTCTTTGCACCCAAAAAATTGCACCCCTCATTTTAAAAAGATGTAAACATTCCTTTAATTGGAGATGCAAATATCAACCCTGCTATTTCCTGTAAATTCATCCCCTACCCACCAGCATCACCTCCCTCTTGTCTGACTTGAGCTTCTGCTGACCTTTTTATCCATGCCTTAACTGACAACCATTCGGAAAGCCAAGTGACTGCATCGTCTTGCTCAGACAATAATGCAGAGCTAGTGCCAGCCACACATTGGTGACAATGCAGCTCATCTTGTTTACAATCTCCCCTACTACCCACATACAGAAATTGAACCAAAGTGAGAATAGAAGCTGCAAAAATGCTTGCTGGGGGCAATGAGAAACTGCCCATCACCTGCCTCTGGAATCTCTCTGACAGAAAGGAGTAAGAGTCACTGAAGCACAGTTGGTCCATTCCTGCTAGATACCATGTGAAAAGTCTCCATAACCTCAGAATTAATACAATGGTCAAAGGCTGATGACAGCTCCAGGAGACTCATCATAGATACATGACCTCTGTCTGTACCCCAAATTTTCCATGACAAAAATCTAGATCCTCAGTATGGCACATCTACGTCTGCTGGGATTCTACCTCTCAACTGGACAAGCAGCCTGGAGACAAGTCAAATCATGACAAGGATTTGGTCTTCACTCTCCCAGTATCCAACTTAACATTTTGTTTAAGATCTGTAGTACATCCATCCACCTGTACACTGAGTTCTCCTTTACCTGGAATATCTACCATGAAACTATAGTATTTCAAACACTCTGTAAGAGCTTCATCCACTCAGAACTTGAAGTCAATCAGGACGATACATCTCAGTGACTTCAACGCCAGGCCAGAGAAGAAAGCTGTTAACTTGGGCCTCAATCCTGCAAATACATACTTGCTTGACTTTATGCATAAGTAGTCCTATTCAAGTCAGTGGGACTATTCACATGTGTAAAATTAAACATGCGTAAGCATTTGCAGGATCTTAGATGGGACGTCTACAGTATAACAGGGCAGCTTTACACACAACCATTAATCCCAAATAAATCCTCTCCTGAACTTTATTAATATGATGGATGTTAACTATAATCCGTTTTGAGGTGAAGAACTTCCACACACACATATGAAATATAAATAAATCCATTAAAATTGTATCAGATTTTCTGCTACTTAAGTCAAGAGTAACAATACCAAAATTTGAGACAAAGATCCAGTAAAAACATCTAACAGTGCATATGATGTATTTTCTTGTTCTATGACAGAAACAGGACACATTTTTAATGTCAATGCCTCTAAAAATGCAAGAAATGAATCTGTTTAACTCAAATATTTAATCACAATACCAACTCCATCAGCATCAAGACTAACCAAAACAATTAGAGAAGAAGCTGTTCAGCTAATATAAAAGGTTACTTATCAACATAATGAAAACAGAGTACTATGGCAGCTCTGTCCTCTTGGTGGCGTGTCAAACTGTCTCTCTTGCCTGACTAGTTAAGTTTTTATTTCCTTATTGGGCAAGCAGCAAAAAGTTCAAGTGAAGGAAGTATCACTGCACAGAATAATTGGATTCAGAAACGATGAAGAATATTCTATTTTCTGAGGTGTTAGTCTGCAGGTATAAAGGCTGACATTTTTTTTGATCTGTTGGTAAAGGAAATCCACTTAAGGCGGACAATAGTCAAACTGTTAATAATTTTGAAATCATATATATTCTGGTGAGAACATTTTAGGAGACTAAAAATAAATCCCCAGCCAAAAAACAACAACAAATCATTAACCTGCAGCTAGGGTTATAAATATAATCTTAGAAGATAAACATCTTGAAGATGTTGTAGTTTTCATAAACACAAGTGTCCAAAAGCAAGGAATTTCTAAGTTGACAATTAAAAAATATAAATCTGAAAGTAGAGAATTAAGTTCTCTAACCTTAGTTCTCTTCTCCAGTATATCCTCACCCTGTCTACTCTCTTAATGACAAGTATCACAGCAAGTCTAGATGTAAGCCCTGGAAATCTTACCAGTTGTCCTGGAACACTGGTAGTTGAGGACAAATTAAATCCCATATATTTTAGTGTTTCTGCCGCGACTATATGGCCATTTTAATTCCTCATCCACCATGGATTTATGCAGCAAAGTATACATAGCCTAAACACAACATTTTTAATGGCTGCTGCTACAAGGAGCTCAACTCCTGTGCCTGGTAAAGTGTTAAAAAGTTATAGTTCCTTTTTCATCCCAGCTGACATCACCATCATTCAGGCCCAGGAACTGGTAGGTTTTTTTTGACAGCTCCCTCTTCACCCATCCAGGCCATATCCAAATCCTACCACTATATGTTCCTGAGCATCTCTACAATCTGTCATTTCCCCCTCTGTCTCTATAGCCAGCTCTTTAGTTCAGGACCTCACTAGATATTCTCTAGTCGACCATTCCTCTCTGGACTCCCAAACACGCAAATGGACACCCTTCAGTACATACAAAAGGCCGTTCATAAACTCCTCTCTCTTGTGCAGTGACATGATCATGTAACTCCCTTTTTTGGGATGGGAAGCTAATAGAAGGATTCATGTTCTATCAAATTTAAACTTCTTGTCAGACCACCTTCAAAGCTCCCTCTCTATAACTCTGCCCCTCCCAATTTATCCCCACTTGTCAAGTTTCACATTGCCCTCTGCTCCTTCTGCTGTGCCAATGCTCTCAACCTCATCCACCCATCTGTCAATCTCTCAATCACTTCTGTGCCTTCTTCCATGCTGCCCCATATGCATGGTACAACTCCCTGAGTTTGGGACAAAAGACCTCTATTCCATTCATATTTAAATCCCCATTGGGATATTTCTGTACTCATGGGCGGCGGGTCGCACAGGCTGGGGGAGGCTTTGCCTCCCCAAACAGCCAGACATTATCCTGCATTCTGCTGTGACCACTCCCTGCAGCAGCATGCAGCTCCAGTCCTCTGGCTCCAGACCCCCAGTTCTCTGCTGAGGTTGGGGCCTTGTGCCTTCCCATGCTCATGAGCTGGGAAGGCTGCGGCTGCCTGCCCCCCACCCTCCTGCGCTCCGGGGGCCATGCGCCACCCACCCTCCTGGCACTCCTTTGGGGCTGGGGTCAGGCTGTGCTACTGTGGCCATGGGCGGCTCCAGCGTGTGCGCGCTCTTGTGGGGGGGAGCTGACTTGACTCGTGGGTCTCAGGCAGCAGGGCTGTTTAATTATTGCGTAGACGTTCAGCCCGAGCTCTGGGACCCTCCTACTGTGCAGGGTCCTAGAGCCTGGGCTCCAACCCAAGCCTGGATGTCTCCACCGCAATTAAAACAGCCCTGCAGCCCAAGCCAGCTGGCATGGGCCAGCTGCAGGTTTTTAATTGCAATGTCGACATACCCTTAAAGACCCATTTCTGCCATGTTGCTTATAATGAATCAAGCAGACTTGTATATAATTGGCCTATTATTTCCCTTCCCATGCCTTGCTTCTACTTGGTTGTGCTTAGACTGTGAGCTCCTCTGAACAGGAACCATCCTGCATAACTGTTTGGAAACCACTTAGAGTGTAATGAGTAGTACCACAAACAATAATAGTTTTTTCTTTGCATCTGAATAAAAAGTCTTGATTTAACAGCCAGTGATAGAGGCACAGGACAAATCTAGTTAAGAGTTCAAGATCTACATAAAATGATCATGTTTATTCCCTATAGGCTTTTCATTAGACTAATTCAGTTTAAACTAGTCTAAAAGGGTTTACTTTTGCCTCCAGTTCTGCTAATTTGAAGTCATGGAGGAAACATTACTGCCTTCCTATTTAAGAGTGCCAAAGGTGTTAACAGCTGCAGCCAACTTGACAAGATTGGAAGAACATATTCCAAACTGTGCCTTTAATAAATATCAAAGCCTCTTGAAGCAGGATTTTTTCATTCCTTTCAGAGTGATATTCTACTAACCTACCCCACGATTTTCTAATAGTACAAGAAAGTCTTTTACTCAGCAAGCTCTTCTAAAAGGTTTTTTCCTTGTTCAATATACACTTTTTTTTAAAATTAGTTCTTATATTTTTCTGATGTCCAGGAAATATTTCACAATTTTATTTTTTTTCCATTTTAAGTATTCTAATATCTTGATATATTTTTGTATTTTATATTTGTACAGTGCATATCACCAGGCACTACTGCAAATGCAAAGAATGCTGCAGATCATATTCTCAGCTGGTATGAATTAGCAAGCGCCCATGAAGTCAATGGAGCAACAAGGATTTACACCAGCTGAGGATCTGGCTCTTCGTGTTTTGTGTGGTTCCAGTCTCGCTCCTCTTTGCTGTA